GTGAAAAAAAAACTTCATTAGTGCAAGAGTTAAGCCAAATAACTCAATGAGCTCATATGGAATGCTATATTGCATTTACAGCAAGCACTTGAGGTATGATTGAATATTTAACTTCGACTCGTTAGAAAGAGCACAGTTAGTACCGAATTTGATACTTGCCAGGGTTGAGCGCAGATATATATTTGGAATATCTTATTCTTGGGGAAATAAGCATTTCCTCGCAGATAAAAAGTGGCGAATTAGCGGAAGTCTGATAGGAAGCAGCTCGCCCAAATGCTAATGAAATAAAATAGTGCAAGTTAACGCCATCTTGTGCCACTAAAAAATCATTGTGGCGCAAGTTATCGCTGGAAATTCCAGCTATGTGAAAAACGTAGCGATTTGCCACGCTATTGAAGAAAAAGTGGTTCCGCTGATATCGGAACAGCGAATAGCGCGTCATTGCCCATCACTGCTGTACTTGCCCAATGTCTCGTAAAGAGTCCTTTTTTCTCGAATTGGGTTTACATTCTCTTTCAAACTGGTCTGTTTTCAATGAGTTGGGATGATCGGTTTATTACGAAGCAACGTTTCAATGATGATTTATGAATATACACTTTACAAGAAGCAAAATGAAGGTGATTTAATTGGGCACTGGTTTGAGATAGATGAAAGAAATAAATGAAATAAAACAACAAAAAGACGAATGCGAAAGTCGCGGACAATATGCGAAGATAAACGAGTTATTAACATGAAACCTTATACCATATTCCAACGATAGCAATAATCTTACTGAATCAGACTTAGCCTAATAAAAGGAATCCTTCAAAGTTTAATAAACTTCCATAAAGCGATATCTATTCTCCACCTATCTAATAAATTCACCTCAGGTCATTTTAATACCCAGTTCATTTTGCAGCATTTTGGATCGCATCAAAAATCAAACTGACCAAATTGCATCAAGCTCCTCTAAACCAAGCTGCAAATAGTGTAATACATAATATTCGTGGCGTAATACAATACTGATAATTAGAAATGAGATCGTTACAAAGTATATTAAATGTGCATTTTGTTTTTGGTGAACACAGATCTGATTGTATGCACGATTATGGACGTATAAAGCGATTGCAAACAATACTATTGCTTTTGCGAACGCACTCGAAGAGAGCTCGCAAAGCAAACTTAAAAGAGTATATTTCGAGAAGTAACTGAACATTAGAGGGTTACACTTTTTAAATCGAAGGAGTGATCTGAAAGGAGGATATAAATTGAAGATTATTAAGTGGAAGATAATATACACACAAATCATGAGAAAATATTAGATAAATACAATCGCATTGGATAGATGGATGTAAACTCTTCTCAATTCTATTCAATTAACGACAACTGCACAATGACAGAGGAACTGTAACCATTGCAAACTTTCAGAGTTCACACAATTTACTAATAAATGCACTTGAAAACGTTGTCAATATCCATTTCCAAAACCAATTCACTTAAAATTCATACAACCTTCTCAATATCTTTTTATCAATCCGTGAAGAATTCATTGAATTATTCCGTATCTCTACATCTGAAATGATTATGTCAATATGAAAAAATCTCGAACAGCTTACGAAAGATTGCGGTATACGTCCATCACAAATTTACTGATCGTCAGTAAACAGAACGACATAAATGAAAAATAAATTTGTGTACATCTAAAAATGAGCGTAATATTAACAGTGTTGCTATAAATAAGTACTATTAGATAATATGCAATAACATAACTCGTGAAAGTGATTTACAAACAGGAACACATTCGATATATCCCGTCGAATAAATCTACAAATGACCAACAGAAGTGTTGTGCGGTAAATAAACAAAATTAATGCTGATAACTGCCAGAACCAAACAATTCTGCAAAGCAAAACAAATAATGAATACGTTTCGCGAATTATAAGGTCGTGAAAGGTGTTAACGGGTTTCCGATTATTACAATGAACGAATATGGAACTATCAAATGAGTCTTACATACCTTGCTGAGGAGTGTTATTGTAACTGCCCAATCTAGTTATTACCAGGATCGGCTGGTGCTTCATCATTGGATGTGAGTGACTGTGTGATAAGAGGCTCGCTTGGGGGAGATATGGTTTGCTCATTTAATGATGTTTCTTCGATAATTGTTTTTAATGGTGAATTCGAATGGCTGCTATTGTTGACAAGTGTTTCTTGTTCAACAATTCTTTGCTCAGCTTGTTTAATTACCAATCGAAGCGATTCTACATGATTATCCATCTCCTGTTATATAAAATCATTGCAAAATATACTACAAAATTCATTCAATTTTTATTGCTAACATCCAGTAAACGTTGAAACTATTCTTAATTCTCCACAAGATTTTGAATTCTTATTCCAAGATTTCACATTTCTTATTTCAATTTTAGTAGCGATTAATTGCATAATTATTATTAACAGAAAGACTAAATATATTTTTGATTGAACTCAGCAGGAGTATTACTACTTTTGTGTTATTCTAATGTTTATCAAATTACCCAAATGAATAAACATTTATTTCCATTTCTACACGATCGCTCGATATCATTCGCAAAAGCTTACATATGATATAATAATAAAAGCAAAATGTGAACAAAAATGCAAACCCGAAGAGCTCCATCAATGATTTCGATATTTTTGCAATTCACCATTGTAAACGGTGAGGCTAATGCCCAACACGCACTTACCAACGATGAAGCGCGTGCTTCTAGAATTCTTATATCAACCTGTAATTATTGTTGTTGGATACAACAGTAATCGTATTTGTGATGACTGCTGCTTCATGAAATAGGAGAGCAATGTGCAACATTTTGCAATGTTTTCTGCAGAAGAAAGAACAATAACGGGCATACTTTACGGACGAGTACAAAAAAAACTTCAGCTTAATTGTGAGCACAGAAGGAGGGTTCGAAGACCTCCCCCCCCCTCCCCACAGAAACTTGCATACTGTTGTCCTATTTTATCTAAGCCTAAGCCTAATATTTTAGCATTAATCAATTCAGTCAGATAAGATAGATCAAAATTTAAAAATCTATCATAAAGTGTCATGATTATGATCAAATGAAATCATAAAACCTGATCAGATGCCATCGCTCTAATGAGATCATCAAATTGTGGCATGAGACGGTTTGTCGATCTCACAATATAATCATTTAACTGAGGATTTATTGGTAGCAAAGGCACAGCAGACGATAATTTTTCAATTACTGAATGAGATAGCTTCAGAACTGCAACACAATGTTGCAATATACCCGTCACATCATATATCCACTGGTTGTTATCAAGTATTTGAGCTGAAAGTTTGGTTCTTGATTGACAAATTCATTCATTCGTTTACACTGCATACTTCTACATAATAACAGTGATGTTTCTGAACTTGCTGTCATATATATTTATATACACGAAATTACTGCTCAATTTTGAACAAAATATCATTTAATAAAAGTAAAATGAATATAGAAAATATACCGATAAGTGGACTGAGTTGAATGATACTATCCATATTAGCATTCCGAAGTTTCGAAAACCGTAATAAATTACTCTTATCATTACCATTACGACAAAAATACTGCTGTGGTGTAATTGAACGCCTTTTACACATAATTATCAGTATAAATAATGAAAAAAGAAATACACATGCTAGAACAATAAGAGCTAAATACACAACGATATGCATCGATAATCTGAAATTAAAGATGTTCCTTACCTTTTGGTTAAAACGACAATTACTTGAAACGTTCAGAACGTCGTATTTGTTAATTTGGATTCGTTTGGTTATATTAAAATCAGCAAATAAAAATAACAGGAAAAATCGTTCGGATTCATCAACGAGCTTCACATGAGCATTTTCAAGTGATTTTTTATTCGTTCTCTGCTCAGTATATGACGGAAAGGAAAAGAAATAATTTGAATGATCAAGATAGCTAACAGTCTGATGGTGGATGATTGCTGATTGATGGTTAAGATGTTCAAATTTCTCATAAAACACTATTTTTGCAAACAATTTGGTGTTTTCGTGAGCAAAATCAGTTTCAGATAGAATGCTTGCTCGCAGAACACAATTTTCTTTCTCACAAAAAGTTTACCTTTGGCTACATCACTTTGGTGACGCGAAGGAAGATCAATAATCAAATTTTCCATCAACAAACACATTTCGTCTGGCAAATGAAGCTTTCTGTCTCGAGTAGATTTTGTCATCGAAAAAGATAACTTTCATCCAAAAATAAACATCAATCCTTCTTGGATGTCCTACTCAGTTTGCCTAAGACATTTCAAAGAATTTCATTTTGTACTATCTGAGATTTCAAGAAAAAAACTTCTTATAAGGTGAGCAACTAAACATCAATATGGACTGGTGGTGGTCTGAGCTTGAAGAAGTGGTAGAAAGAAAATTGATAGCTGTTACAAGTGTACATATAGGTAGCAGATCGATGAGAAGAATGAATACAGGTACGCATTTATATATTATACACAGAAGTATACAATAAAAGATTTTTAGCAGCAGACGAATAGCAATGAGATTGAGTAGGTAGAAAAGGTGTTGGTTTTGTAATGGAAAAGAATCAATCGGGCTGAGTTATTGACATGTGCTATGGATAGATACGCTGCAATGAACAGATAGATGTTCGCGTAGCCGAAGCGTGTCGATTCATCTGAGGATGGGCGTTCGAAGGAAGTAAAGTCGACTTCTTTTATGAAAACATGCATGTGCGTTATTATAATACTGCCAGGAATGGTTGTGGTTGTTTGCGTTGCTCGGTGAACTCGATATGGATTCATAGTTGTGAACTGGTGTGCATCAATGCTGATTCAATTTTCAAGTCAATTTCGGTTTATAGCTTAATGACCAAAATGTGTATGTGCATGTAAAACGAACATGATTGTGAAAGAACATCAAGTGAGTTATGGCATGCTGGTATCTGCTAGATTTAGTCATATCGTCCCATTAGAGCAGAACATTTAGACCTGGTATTTTCATGGATGTCTGTTGATTATTATTATCATCATTATTATTATTATTGTTAGTATTACATTATTATTATTATCGCTTTGATTCCACTTGAAAACTATTTTCAAGTTTGTATATAGAAGGGGAGGGAGAAATCTGTTTAAATTCCCTCTGTACGTCTAAGCTTAGGCTGAGACTTATTGGATCATCTACGTAACATACTCCTCACTGATTCGTCGTGTTCGAAAAGCCGGTATCATGACTTACAAACTGTTGCTCTATTCCGTATAAGTACCATTTTATTTTTGTTCCTGAACTGAGGTTTACTGTTATGATTTATTTTTGATTATAGTCCAGTTAGTTTTCCAACGACGTTTGTTACTTTAAAATTTTGGGCCTCAAACTCTGATTAGTGCTTAACTCTGGAAGTGACAATTTATTATTGATATCATTATTATTTTATTGTTTTTGTAACCAACTCATAGAACTGTGCTAAGAAATTACAGATGCACTTATAACGTGGATGTAAATAATTTGCAGAAATGTGTTACAGCATTAGCAATCAATATGTATATATATATTCTTTGATGTATTATATATACTTATATATGATATGATATTTATGCGCAGTCGAGAGTAGTGTTGAAAACCAACAAATATTTCTTGGATGGCCACCGACAAGGCATATTTTGAGCGTCGGTCGCAGTGGTAAGCACTTAATGATGGTAAAAACACCGATGGATCAACTGCTTTCGGTCTTGGTCGGTGGCCATTGATCCAATTCTGGTTGAGAGTTGTATGAAAAAAGATCATTAAAACGCAACTCATTCTCAGATTCAACGTGTCTCTATGAATTTCTTCGCTTATCTCCATAATACGATCGTCTTGACGTAGGATTGCTGCTGTAACACATTCGAGTGGTTGTATTGCCTTAACAAATCTTATGAAACCAGCTGTGTTAACTCATTACACCGCTCATAAATCTCGAATTTAGGTCTTAGTTCAAGTCCAGCAATGTTATATTTTCCAAAGAATTTGTCGTTTATGATGATAGTAGCTATCTATTCTTTGAGCAGTGAACTTCGTCTGTTGTTTATTTAGTATTCAATTAATGAAATGGATGCCAATGTAGTATCATTGTTACTGTTTTTGGTGCTATCATTTTGTGTAATTTGATAGAAGAATTGGTAATGAGAGGTGAAGTGCGTGAGGATCTTAAAGAGGCTGAACAGCTTGCGGCTGAAGGTTTAAGTGTCGAAAAACAGCAAGAACAACTTCTGATGAATAAATTGGCCGCAAATGGACGACTTCCAGCAAAACCGCAGAGCACTTTCCTTCAGAAGAAATTGCAACAGCAAAGAGTTGGTTATTTTATTTATTATTTTTATCATTACCATTTATTGAGTATTGAGGGTTCTTCTATTTATATTCTAAAATCTTAGTATTCAGTTATTTGTTACATATAATAAATATTATTTGTGAAAGAATTTTGTTTCGGTTTTCTATTATTCTCAATTCTGTTTGAGGTAGAACTTTGGTGGTTGTTGATTTGAATGAAAATTTCTTTAAGAAATTCTTCGATTCTGGTGATTATGCGATGAACAAAGACAAAGCGAAGCATCCACTGCCATCTGCAGTGCCAAATGTTGTTTCATCAATTGCATCAGTGCAGCCAACTACTCATGTATCTGTCGTTTTTTTTATTCATCGCCTAAGAAATCAGTATAAATCAATCGAAATAAAGAGATGAATCAATGGATTAATCACTTATTGAATATCTGTCAAGAATGTGTGCAGTGTTGATTTCATGTTAACATAATCAAAAATCGAATTTGATATAGAATGATGCATATGAATTTAAGAGAGGCCAAGTGACAGCACTAAATGTCGATGTGACAACGACATCAGCAACTTCATCGTCGTCAAGCGCAGCCATTCAGACAGCTGTTTTGAACAGTGCTACTCCGGACGAATCACTGCAGATTCCACGTCCAGACACGGTACCACAACGCAAAGCATCAATCATTTACCCATCTGTACATAGCAAATTAAGTCCTCAACCACATATTCATCACTCTTCACATGACGATATCTTACCTGATCATAAACAAATGTAACAGCATCGTAATACAACAACAACATTCTTTCACGCTTGCAAGTGGTATATTCAACTCTGTCTTTGCATTCATTTCATTCTCTCTCCATCCAACCAACACCTCACGGAATATTTATTCATTTCCTTCATCCGGCTCGCACTTACAATTCCTTTGATTTTTTATCCTTGCATCATTCTCGTATCATCAGTCTGGTTTATTGAGTGGATTGCATGTTCAGTTGTTTAACTGTTCAAATTTTTTTGTTTGAGCCGTTTTGTTCATTATTCGTCCACCTTTTGTAATAGAACTAAAAGTTTTAGTATTAAGATGTTTTGCGACTGGTATGTGCGGTAGTTGGCAAAGGTGCGAGTGATCATTTAGTTCAGCTCTGTGAACTGAAACCGTTTGGTTTTAATTGTATAAACGGTATTAAAGTTGATTGCTGACTGTGTTATTTCGTCTGTGTGGATCTATATTTCGGTTTGATTTTTTTTGAGATTAGTTATTACTATATGAAATATTCATCTATTTTTGTGTATTGTTGTGTGCGTGCATTTTTTTAAATGGTCACTTCGCTTAAGCTACTGAAAGAGCATCATCTTGCTACCAGATTCAATCAGTGATCCGTCACTCAGTCATTGTGTACTCATTTTTCCGTATAAATATCGGTCTGGTTCTATTCCATTTTCCTTTTGCTTCATAACAAATTTCCTTCAACACGAATGGAGTGTTACAAAATTGTACTATCGTTTAATCATTATTGCATTCATTTGTGTGGTGTATATTGAGAACGATTCATTTCCAACAGTTTATTTATCTATGAAAGACCAACTTGGTTCACAACAATAAACAAATAATTTCCGACCTTGATACACATACACGGAAATGAACAACAAAAAGTTGATTTATTGATGTAGCAATTAACGTTGATATTACTAGTGCACTGCTATTACGAATACAGTGCCCCTAGGCACTCTCGTCAGAGAACACAACTGAATGAAATGTTTTTAATACGTCAGATAAGAGCAATTTTTATACAACAAGAATGCAGATGAACAAGAAACACGATTGATTATCAACAATGGTCAGTATATTCGCACGAACAATCCGATCATTCTCTTGGAGATTGAAAGAGCATGTTAACGTACTTCAACTAATGCAAACTTCGGAATCCGATCGAATAAATTTTCATTGTTTCGAATTTCGAGTTTACATAAGAAATTCGAATTTGAGCATGATTCACAACAATAAAAATGGACAGTTGAAGAAATTAGTATAATTTGGTGTGGTAAAAGAATTGGAGTAAAAAGATGAGCGAAGAACATCGAACAAAACGATGGCGCATAATACACGACGGAATAAAAAAAGTGACGAATAAGGAAATATGAGATCAGTGTCATCAATCAATGATTAACGATGAACATTTATCACTGATCAACTGACCCGAATTGCATGTTCACATGCAATTCGCCAAGCGTTGATAATCTCAGCAACAGATGATGAATTATTAGTCATCGCCAGACGTTTCTCAAAATGAACATTCACCTCACTATCCAAATCACTGCCAAATGACCACTGATCTCGCCATATCGATGCTCCTACCTCTGGATATTTGACGGGTATTACCAAACGTAACGGAGGTACTAATAACTGTAATCAGTGAATCACTTATTAATGCATTAATCCATTGAAGTAATGGGTAACTTCATCCATCATTCGATATACATTCAGTAAGTTGATTTACGATGCTTTAAAATTAGACTGAAACAATCACATTCAGTCAACTCACTGAATCATTCTCGATGAGCACATGAACTTCGGTTGATTCACTTGAAATCGGGAGCAGATCCGTATCAAACCTTAAGCATATTCATTGAAACAATCTCGAAAATTTAGACTCCTTTCAATCTTTGTATACTTCATTAATCATAAACCCACTCAAAAAATATAACAGCAACAATAAGGATAATTAAAAATAAAAAATCAATCACAATTATAACAGTAATAGTAACGAAAATGAGATAAAATAGTAACAATATCAATACTACTACTAATAATAATAACAATAATAATAATAGTAATAGTAATAGTAATAGTGATAGTAATGGTAATAGTGATGGTAATAGTAATAGT